GGGGGGGGTATGGCGGCCAATTTTTTTTATTTTTTATTTTTCCTGGTTTTAGTGTTCGGGCACGTAGGCACACGTGTCCGAATTCCGTTTTTCGGAATTCGACGCGACACCCCCGTTTTTGCGTTTAACGCGATTTAACGGGGGTCGGGGGCCCGTTAAACGGATGAACGCGCGTTCAATTTTTCGCGTTCTCCGTTAAAAAGATACACAGCCCTCCGATCGGGCAGCAGCCTCCCGTACCTCCCGTCCCAACACGGCCTTTTCTCTACAACGAGGGAAGGACACGTGTATGCGAAAGGGACGTACGAGAAGCTGTTGCACAAATCGGCGGGCGGTATTACTTCCCTCCGGCAAATCGTTGCTCAGGGTTTGTGGAAGCTGGGTTTGTCACTTCCCACCTTACTCGATATTGTTGCCATTCAACGAGTTGATCGTCATCCCGTGGATGGCAGTAGAACCCCACTGGCCGCGCACTCTATGCACCGAATGTCAGCGTTTTAAGCGCTACGGATCCAGGGGTTTCCACTACCGTGTGTGGAGTGAAAATGAGCATAAAGAAAGAGCCACGCGGTTGAGACCATCCACGTCAGACTCGGAACTGACCAGCGAACGACGACGAGATTTGATACGAAAACGAGACACGCGAAGCGTGCCAAAACCTTTCCATTCTAAACGACGGGTTGTAGCCCGGTGGGAAGCCCGACAATACTTTTTGGATCGAATTTGGATTTTTCTCTTTTCGCGCCGTGCCCGCGCGCGCATTCCGCGACGCGCGAAGGCAATCGACTTACTTCATCGGACCAACACATGGGATTTCAGTTCCATCTGTGTCCCCACACTCAATTTCCAAAAATCCTTGGCACACCCCATCTTGCTATTTTTCTGGGCCTCTTTCCGCACGCCTAACACTCTGAACGAAAGACAGCACAGGGCGTGAGGTTGGTATCGGAGCCGACACGTGTCGGTTCTGATGATAGTAAGTCGAACTGGCGAGAGGTAGGAGAGACCCTCAACTAGCTCGTCGGGATCGCCCAGTGACCTGGTCTCGGTCTAGTGTGGCTGCACCCGCAGCACCAATGGTGGACGGTACTAGGGTGATCGTTAGCATCCCCGCCCCCTTCCCTTTCTTCCCTAACTGTACCCATCCTGAGGCTTGGCTGGAAGCTGTCGAAGCTTAAAACCACAGCGCAACCGATCTTTCGCGCTTTCTGACATTGCTACTTCGCAATACGTCGCATGACTCGTTTAGAAAACATACGTGGGTAGATTGGGATACCTTCAAGCAAGCCTTTTTGGCTCGATTCGATACGGTCAGTGAAGATGCGGCCTGGTACGTGCTAAAAAATGGGCCACAAGGACCGGGGGAATTGTTGCCCGATTTCGTCGATCGATTTCAAACCACGTTGGACAAATCCGGGCGAGACAAGAAATCCACTCGAGATTTGTTCATCGATCACCAACGAAGTCCGACATTGAAAGGGAAACTGCAGAAAAAGGTCCTGCCGAAAACACACCAGTTATCAGCTATCATGGCTAAAGCATTGGAACTGGAACTGGCTGATACAAAAAACTATATCAGCCAGGGAGATGAAGACATTACAGATACCATACGGGATGTAACGGCCTATGTGTCTATTCAACGGGCAACGAGAAAGTTTCAACTCCGTTGTACCCGTTGAATAGCCCCCGGGGCCCCGTTGAATTCCCGTTGAATGGTACAACGAGTCCTCCCCGTTGAATATTGTTCAATGGGGAGGGTACATTGGGCCTCGGACACGACGCTGGACGCACGTGAACCCAAAAAAAATTGTCCCGTTGAATCCCGTTGAATCCCCGTTGAATCACCGTTGGGAAAAAAAAACCGACATCGTCCAAAAAGTCCAGAAACAAACTATGTTATGCAGAAAAATAAACTGAACAACTTTTGCCTCAGGGTCACATCGGAAATCTTCACCAAATTAAAAATAAAAAATAAAGTATAAAAATAAGTTATTTATTTATTTATTTATATTTTTACGTGTGTGTGTGTGCGTGTGTGTGTGTGTGTGTGTGCGTGTGTGTGTGTGTGTGTGTGTGTGTGTGTGTGT